AACAACAACAACAACAACAAAAACAAAGGATTTTTAAATTTTAGAAGCATTAGAGTAGGGATGGAGCTCTGGTAGCCTAGTGGGCAGAGAATTGTGCTGCTGACCCAAAGGCAAGTGGTTCGAATCCACAAGGGACTCTTTCGGAAAAGATTGGCTGTCTCTTCCTATGTGATTTACATCTGACCTAATGGCAATGGATTGAGTTTGAGAGCAGAGGTTGGTGCTTAATTCTCTGTTCTGTGACTTTCCTGTTCATAGGGTTACTATGAGTTGTAGGTGACTTGAAAGCACCTAACAACAATAGTATTTGCAAGACCCATAAGGAAAAATGAATGCCAAACTATACCTTAAAATATCACTATAGTAGATTAATTTTAATTATAGATAGCACTCTTTCATTGTTTTCTAGAAAGTTCATTCATAAGATTGCTAGGCTGTACTATAGTGAGTCTCATATTCTGCTTTGTTTGTTTTACCAACCATGATTATGTGAGGGAGATATTAATGTGAAACTCTATTTTCTACTTTCCCACTCAAAATAGCATTTAAGAATGCAAATAAAGAAGAGATTCTGTCAGAAGTCCTGGTTGCCAGAGGCTGCCTGACCCCAATATTTTATTCTTTTCCTATACCGTCCACCTGAAGGGAGTGGGAACAGCCTGCCTCTGTAACACTGTTGGCTCCGACATATAGCATGGAAGAATAGGCAAGAACAAAACATTTGTGGAAGACAGCATGCCCCGGGCAGAGGGCCATGATGGCTCACCCCGAACTGAGGGCCGAAGACAGCCCGCCCCGGGCAGAGGGCTGTGACGGCTCGGGGCAAGCCGTCATGGCCCTCAGGGTGAGCTCCTCAGTCCCCAGATTGTGCCATCTGACCCCTGGGTAGGAAAAAAAATGCCTAGGGTATCCAGAGAATTTTATCTAGGCTACTTTCTGCCACCCTCTCCCCCAATAAACCTGAAAGCAGCATCCCCAAAACCCTTCTATATGTAACTCATAAGTTTGTTCTCTCTAGGTTTGCTCCCTTTCCTATAGGCAACCTTACCACTGAATTTTACTTCAGACCTGACCCCGAACCCAGTGCCAGTGACAAAAAGGAAATACAACTGCCAGCTAAAGAAGCAAAGGAGGATGGAGCCTCTGGGTTCAACCAGCCATCCCCACTGGACCCACCTGGGAAAACACTTTGCAGCACAGAGGGGAGCAAATGACAGGAAAATACCTTCTAACAGAACAAGAAGGCAAGCAGCCTTAACCCAAGACCACCAGTAAGGTGATAAAGTGTCCTCCCTTTCCCCCTTCACATCAACGCCCCTGTTTAGCATGAAGAAGCCAGAGAGTCAGCATCCAGTTCCCAAATCAATAAGACAGTTGGTTTAATTACCATTGGAAAATGCTTATAATTCCCCTGTAGCATCTGTTCCCACTGGATCCTTTTCATTTCCTTCACCTGCTCCCCCCACCAAACAATTTCTGCAGCTCTGCAACTGCATCCCTGCCCATCCTCACCCTTCTGCCCCCAACCCTCGCCTCCTTGTACCCCCAACATGTTTTTCCCCAATAAAAAAAAAGTAAAAAAAAAAATTTGTGGACCCAAAAGAGATTTAAGGGCAGAAGAACTAGACTAAAACATTTTCTGCCAATTCTCAAAATTTTGGCATGTTGTCAACAACCTGATCTTTAAGCACCTTTTAAGTAGGAAAACTGTTTACTGAATGATTTCTGGGAGGGGGGGGGGGCTATCATAGGCATTGAAGAAGAATTAAAAGACGAATACTACACCCTTGACTTTAAAGCTGATGTCTCTCCATTTATTTCCAAATGAATTCCAGAAAATCCTCCGAACCATCCTGTCTTCTGACTGATCAGATGCTTTTAGGGAACAGAGCAGCAGGAATGGCTTTCTTACCTGGCCTGCAGTTCCAGGGTTCTCTCTTTCCCAGACACCTGGAAAGTATGTGGGTATTCTTCATTGTGAGTCTCTACAATCTTCATTCCATCAATGCCAACCCTAGTACGAACTGTGAATTTAGAACCCACCAAACTGAATCTGGGCACACAGTACAGTAACATGTTGTTGAACTGTAAGGAGATACAGCATACAGAAACAAAAAGGAAAATCAAGACAAAAGAGAGAAAGAGGTCAATATTAAAAAATATCCATGGATACAAATTCCAAGGAATTTCTAAGAAATATGATACTTTACATTTGTTGTTGTGTACCATCAAGTCAGAAGTGACCCACAGCTGACCCTCTGGCAGGTTTTCAGAGGCAGTTAATTGCAGAGGAGGAGATTGCCCATCCTTCTCCCACAGAGCAGCTGATGAATTTGAACCTTGTACCTTTGGGATTGCAGCACAGCTTCTAGCCACCAGCCCACCAGAGAGCTCCATTTTACTTTATTAAATTATATAACAATTACAGATTTTACAACTTCATTATACTGGTATAAAAATAATTCTTACATTTTTAACATAAATTTTGTTAATTCTCATGCTATTTTATTAAATTTTAAGTAAACCAATCATCACTTAGGGAGCTTTGTGGTTTAGTGGTGAGAAGTTTTATTGCCAACACAAAAGGATGTGGTTCAAATTTACCAGCTGCTCTGTGGGAAAAAGCTGGGCAATTTACTGCCTGTGAAAACCTACTGGAGGGTCAGTTATTTAGCAGTATATAACAAAATCATGTCGTTCTATTCCTTTAAGAAAATGTATTTTCAATTACCTTTTAGCAATAATTTATTAAGGACCATCCTTCTTGTGCTTGGAAGGGTGGAGGGACAGCACAGGAGAGGAAGACCCTGGATGAGATGGATTGACTCAGTAACTGGGGAAATATGGGGGTATGTGTGTCAGAGACAATGAAACTGGCTCAAGATAGAGCAGAGTTCAGAGATAGTGTACATAGGGTTGCTATGAGTTGAAGGTGACTTGACAACACATAACAACAGCAATATATACCAGTAACAGAAATTCTAAATTTTGTAAATTGGAGCTCTTATGTATCAGAATTTATACCTGTGTATTATTTGGGGGAAAGTAAAAAAAACAACAACAAAAAAACCCCAAACAAACCTGTTAGAGGAAAAGAATAATTCTTTAGCAATTAATTTTTTCACTACAGTATTTCATGTTAAATTGGAATACGTTGCCACATTTCCCATTCACATTTTAGTATGTGGGATTAGCATACTACATACATCTGTAGAGTAAGTAAGGCCTGTGGCCAAGATCAACTAAGTATTATTTCACAGGCAGACTCCGAGTCCAGACTAGAAGCATTCAGGATGCCACTCAACACCCTCTTCTGCGGGAAGATTACTGTATGTAAGAGTCTCAGGCTGTTGAGAAGATTAACTGAATGAACAGTTAAAAAGTGCCAATAATAATAGTGCTTTGTACATATCAAGTGCTTAGACTTGACAATGTCTTTTCATTTCACTTTCTTGAGATTTGAGGCCAGACCTGCCCGCCAGGCCCTCTGTTCAGCCCCACCATGCCGTGAAATGTAAATGGATAAAATACTCCATGTGAAGGTGACTGTCCACTAATGTTCAGTCTGGAAGTAAATTTCTCATCAGTTGCTTTTTTCCCCCCTAAAGCATTTATTGAAAAGGTATTTAAAATATCACTCCTTCAAAAGGGATACACAATTACACTGGTCATGAATCTTAAATAAAACATTGCAAAGGCAAGTTTTTTCTTTTTTTGGTCAGCCTGTACAAAGTATAGCAACAAAAAAAGTGTGAGCCAGGGCCTTGGGAGTTGGTTTGGATTCCCTTTCGACTGGTGTTGTGGAGAGCGTCCAGGATAGATTCGGCAGTGTGTTTGCTCACATTCTTCATAACCGGCTGGTCATCACTCTCTTGACTCTTGGTTGCTTTGAATACTTTCACCACAAAGTTATTTTGCTCATGGTGTTGCCACTTTCTCTCCAAATTTGTAAGCTGAGAATGTGTCTCATAGTCTGTTTAACTTCTCCATTCTTTTATTTTTTTTTTTGTCTTTTTGCTTTTATTTATTCATTTAAACTTCAGTTCGACTGTATCCATTATTTTCTTAAAGCCATTTCTATGAGTTGATAATACTGTTCTCTCCTGTTGTAGTTTCTTTTTCTTTTCTTTTCCTGATGATGTCAAAGCTGCCAAATCACTGTATGTCTCCAGATCGGTTACCATTTTTAAAATTTTGCTTTTTTGATTATTGTTCCTCAATCATCTTACTTTCCAGAAGCTCCATTTTCTGTAGGCACTGACTATGTGAAGTCAAATTTTGAGTTGTACTCGGAGATTTTTCATTTTGATAGATTTAAAACTGAGGAGGTCCTGCATCATCTTCAGTTAGTTCTTGGTTGGTGACAGAGGATATCTGTTTCATATGATTCATATTTTGACTGCAGTACTCCAAAAGCATGACCATGCTGGCTTCGATCTGTGCCTGCCGTTCCAGTTCCAGATTCTTCGTTTCCTCAAAAGTCTCGATAAACCTGCCCATAGTTTCCTCACTTTCCGTGGATTTATGGTTCCTTTCCCTGTCTCTCCATGCTGGCTAGTTCCTGATTATCTTTTTTAACCTGCTCAAGTAATCGTCCTCTCTTTCTCTTCCACGGGTGATCCCATGTTTTTGTCTTCTGCAGTCATTTGTTCTCGGTGGGATTCTAACTCATAAAGTTTTTCATACAGCAATATAGCCTCCTGTTTTACCTGAGACTGTGCTATTTCAGCTTCCAGACTCGCTCTTTTCATGTTCAGTGAATCTACTTGTTGAAGTGTATCTAATTTCTGCAACAATTTCTCATTTGCTGTCTTCATCTCTGTGTACTTCACCTGTTTTTCTAGGGACATGCTTTTTGTGATGCAATCAGCTGCTTGTTTTTCCTGTTTAATTTCTTCTTCTACATTTATGATTTGATTCTCTTTCACTTGTCTTTCAGTAAATATGATATCCCTACCTTGTGTCTCATTTTGAGCTTTAAGTGTGCTGTCATTCATTACTTCCATCTCAGTATTGGCATTTTGGTATTAGGTTTACCTTCTAACATGTTGTAATCTGCTACTTTTCCTTGAAACTCTTTGGTTTCAACAGCTAAAGTCTTAACCCTCTTTTCATATGATAAATATACTGAATTCTCTTGGTTGTACATTTTTATTTCTTTAAGAAGTTTATTAATTTCAGTTGTCAGTTCACTTATTTTGCTCCTTAGAAGCTCAAGATAAGAAGATTTGTCTAAAATTTGTCTCAAACCTTGTTGTGTTATAGGACAGAACTTCTGTCTGTACAGCCCACCACGAGAACCTGGTCTTGCTGTTCCAGGAGGTGTTCCAGTTGCCACTCGAATATTTCCTGGCAGGGGTCGTATTCCTGAAGGAGGTCTTCCTGTCAACCCAATTCCACTCCATGAAACAGGGAGAAGTACCAAAGGTTTGTGATTACTGGCCATTGCTTGTTCGCTTCAACCACTCCTCGGGCACAGAAGGAGGGTGATAGCACCACTCTGAGGATGCTCTTGACCTGTAACCAAGGCTGCCGCCACCAGAATGCCCACCAGAAGGCCATTCACTCACTTGTCCACTCGTGGCTGCCCGATGACCATGTGTGGTTTCCTTGGCTCATCAGTTGCTTTTTGCATATTATTTTGGAACTTCCTGTAACCAGTATCATAAATTTCAGTTCCACATTGGAGAATGTAAAAATAAAGGACACTAAGTAAGTTTTAGGAAGCTCTGGTGGCCTACTGGGTAGAGTTGTACTGCTAAGCCACGGCGGTGCCTTTCTGGTGGTTCTGACCCACCAGTGGCTCTGCAGGAGAAAGGTGGGAAATCTCCTGGCAATTTACAGTCTCTAGATACCCACTGCAGGGTGAACTATGAGTTGGTTCTGACTTGATGGCAATGAGTTTGAGGTTTTGAAATATATTTTAGTGACACTACAGTGGCCTAATAAGTAAGTTATTTTGTGGCTAACAGAAAGGCTATACTTCTTTGCTGGATCAAATTCACCAGTGGCTCCATCTAAGAAAGATGAGTAATCTCCTCCCATCCTATTTATGGCCTTGGAAGCTCAATGGAGCATCTGAAAGGATTCAGTTCTGATTTGACAGCAATGTGTTTGAGTTTGGAGTAAATATATTCTATCGTGTACATCTTAGTACCACACCTTACATATACACATACATATACACATACATATACATATACATACAATTCTAGAGAGTGGAAGAGAGTGTCAATAACTTATGTCTTACAATAACCATCCACTCTGTTACAACCTCATTGTAGTATGTGGGATTTAAAGACTGGAGGATAAAACAACTCAGGGAAGTTCTCATCATCAACTTTATTGCTTGATTAAAGCAACAGTCTCCTTACTTAGTTTCCACGCTAGTGTTTCTTTCTTCCATCAAAGCCTCCTTGGGAGAGATTGCCCAAGGCAGAGGATACTCAGGAGCTACAGTTTTAACATCAAAGGGAGCAACATTTGCACTCTCAATCAATCAATAATAAGAAAACTGGTTCATTACAACTGCAAATTTAAGTGACAAATACAATGTCTAAGATTAAGCTCTGAGTTATCCAATACTTGTATTCAAATTCTCTTTAAAATTCAGCAAAATTCATGCATGTGGGATATTGCAGCATATGCATTTTGTTGCTAAGCCTATACAGAAGGACACATTACCTGTAAATATATTAATTTCTTTTACTTTTCATGACCACAGGTGAAATCCTCTCTTTTTAAGTGGCACTTTGCTTTCTAAATAACAACTACGTATTGATCTTCCATTACTTCAATCACAATTTAGTGCTAGTCTTTTTTCATTTTCCTGGAGATAAGGATGAGACTTTTTGCAGATATAAAATATTGCTAACCAAACAGCAGATGTCATATACATGACACTGGTCCTGTAGCAAAAGCCACCATCACTTTTCCCAGAGAAAATGTCTTGCCTCTGTCTGTCTCCTGGTTCTGAAAGAAGAAATGATAACAATGGTAGCATGAAGTAGATCTACTTTTCCTTTTAGTATAGGAGATACTGAAATTTCAAGAAGTTCCAGATTGTGATAAAGCCTAGAAAAGCAAGTCTCATCTACTCAAAAACTTAGAGAAATTCCCTTTCCTTAATTTTTGGTGTTCCTTTATTTATTTCAAGTCTCTTAAAAAATATTTGACTGAAATAATTATTTTATATTTCACAATGACAATTTCATTAAAGTTTGCTTAAAAGATAACAGTATATTGTTAGAGAAAAGTTTCTGTCTCTTACAGTCAAAATTTAAGTAACTCAAGAAAGAAAAATTGGTGCTAGTTAAGTGTCAAGGAAATGATTAACAGAACACCCTCAAAAAGAGCAATGAATAAAAACTCTTTGGTACTCTAATGATTCATTTGAGGTCTTTTTTTTTTCATATTAACTTTAGCATACATACTTCTATCCATGTTGTAGCAAGAATCAATATACCATTCTTTACTGCTATATAATATTCCACTGTGTGGACATACCTCATTTTTATTATCCATTAATCTGTCAATGGACACGTAAGTTGTTTTTACTTTGGGACTATGATTAATAATGCTGCCTGGAGGGACACTGCAACAAAGGAAGACCCTGGATGAAATGGATTGACTCATGACTAGGGCAATGGGGGTAGGTGTATTAGAGACAATGAGGTTGGCTCAAGATAGAGTTCAGAGTTGTAGTACATAAGGTCACTCTGAGTCACAAGTAACTCAACAGCACACAACAACAACAACAACATGAATATGAATATGTAAGTCTTTGTGTGGACATATATTTTCAATTCTCTTAGGTTATACAACACAGAAGCAAAATTTGCTTGGTCATATGGTACCCTATCATACTTTTAAAAACAAATTTTGAGACACTAAATACTCCTTTGTATTGCAATTAGTTCCTATGTATACTTTAAAGAATGGCCAGAACTAGATGCTAAAACCCTCTACATTTCAAACAACTCTTTTTATGGCTGGTACATGGCTTTTTTGGAAGCAGGAGTGGCATCCACTTCCTAAACAACATGCCTCCAGAAACTCTATGAACTTTGATAAATGTTGATAGTTGTAGAAGGGCTTCAGGCTTTTTGTTCATAGGGTTGCTATGGGTCGTGCTCAACTCGAAAACAATCAACAATAACAGCACATGGCTTTTGTTGCAGAACGTCTCTGTGTGTGATAGTCCGAGAATGTACTATGTACCTCAGTTTCTTTTCCTATAACAACTTTTACTGAGCTCTTGATCAATGTTGCTTGTTATGATTATCATTATCTGATCATTCATTATCCTAATGAGTCCCAATTTATTTCCATACTTAATAGAGACCATGGAAACTGAGAATTACAAGTGAGTCTTGAAACAATTTTTTAGTGTGGAACTCTTCCCCCTCAGCCCCGCATTGTAATTTCAAGGATATGAGGGAAAAGACTGCCTGCAAGAGTGGAGCAGATGAAAGGAACTTGTGTCATAAGCTCATACACTTTCCTCCTTCAAAGTTTAGGCACAAATCTTTCATTACTGCCCTTTCTTAAACTTGGAAAGGTAAGTAGTCATGCTTAGGTAAGGAGGAGAGCAGGAAGCCCTGGATAAGCATTGTGCTATTAAAAGAAAGCTTGGCAGTTTGACTCTACCTAGTGGCTATGAATATAGTCTCTTTCTCTCATTGTTGTCAAGTAAGAACCAACTCATAGCTGACCCATTACTGGGTTTCCAAAGTTGTAAATCATTTGGAAGGAGACTACATGTCTTTCTCCAGTAGAGCTGATGGTAAATTGAACCATCAGAGAGGTGTCACCCTGCTAGCAGTGAAACTCCCTATGGACTCAGGCACCAGAGCTGCCTTCAGTTTTCAGAAGTAAAACAAATTACCCAAGTTGAATATAAAAATGACACAACAATAGCTAAAAATTATTGGGGTCCTACAGTGAAGGTCATATTTGTGAGGATGGAGGGACAGCACAAGAGAGGAAGACCCTGGATGAAATGGATTGATTCAGTGACGGGGGCAATGGAGGTAAGGTGTGTTGTGTTGGAGACAATAAGATTGGCACAGGATAGAGCAGGGATTAGGACTGATGTACATAGGGTGACTATGATTAGCGGGCAATTCGACAGCACATAAGAATAGTAACAACACTGAACATGTTCCAGTTATTTGGGACATTTACTTTATGTGAAATACTGACAATAATGACTAATCCACGTCCTAAGTATTTGCTCTGGTGAGTCAGCAAGGATTATTTTCATTGTGTGTCTAACAATGTTTATGAACTACCTTTGGTGGACTTGCTTATACTAACATACTCACTAAGAAAAGATAGCGTTCTTGTGCTGATGTGTTCCGAGCAGCTAGTTTGAGAATCTGTCCTTCTTTTATTAGTTCATTGGAAGGATTGACAATATCTTCTTCTTCTCCCAACATTTCATAAATCTCTAGGAGTTTCTTTAATTTCTCCTAGGAAATTAAAACATAACAAAATCAAATATAAGAAGGTTTCACTTAGTAGCTCCACTAATACTACAACCTTACCTAAAATTAAGAATAATTCAGAAGAGATTGGAAATAAGCACAAATATTGGTATAAAACATGTCATTTATAGGCAAAATGAAACCTCGGAGAAGAAGGGAGAGGATTATTTCAGATAACATGAAATGTTCCATAAACATTTTTTTTTATTTTCCTGGGTCAATTAATTTTTGTGTGGAACTACAAAAAATGAATCTAAGTTACTGACATCTAACCAGAGAGTTCCTATCTCCTCTAAAAACCACTTACCATTTTTCTTATTGCACTATTAGAATGGCTTGCTGCGGTAGATATAATTTCAAGTGATTCTAAATGGGAAAAAAAGAAGAGTAAATAAATAAGCTTTGTCCCCACTATACTACGAGATAGCTGAGTAACATATACACTAAAATAAGATATCTGAGACCGATGGAATATGATAGGAGAAGGGGCAGTTAATATTTACGAACTGAATACTTTCAGGGTTTCATACATACAAGATTATTTGAAACTTGAACAAAGTTTTTTTCAGATAATATATTTATTTAAAAAAATAAAATGGATCAACAAAGTTACATTATTTGCATGCTAACAGAATTTCCCAATCCCATGAGAGAGAATTACTTCTACAGCAATTAAAAAAAAATGACTTCTTCAAACCATTAAAAGATAGGAAACCTTCCATTCCAAATTCAATGTTTTATCACTAGTTTCACCTCACAAGCTACTGGGATATATCTGTGCCACAAGATGGGCCTTTTAGTAAAAGAAAGCTTGAGAAGACATTAAACAAAGATGTCAATAAAAGCTGGTGACTTGTTAAAATTATAAAGTAATCTGCTTTTGGCCGGCAAACATTCTACATTAGAAATCTTCGGCACTGGGGTGATCTGTTCCCTATGACAATTTATTCTTAATTCAGGATGATTACAAACACATGGCACTTTTCCTCCTGCATGCTTTCTTGGGCCAAACCCTGTAAGACCACATGTACAATTTACAGGATGGGACCTGACATTCCCATTCTCACAAAGGATAGTTAAGGAGTGTTACCAGTAACAAAGGATAAAAGTTATACAACATTGATTATTATAAATTATATTTGCTCTTATCCATCTCATTTTCCTTAATATGTTCAGATTCATTTCTTCAGAAAACGACTTTCCTATATAACACCAATGACATCATTAATGATAAGAATGAGTTGTAGACACCTTGATTCTGAAAACATGTATGTGAAGATGAGATGCAATTTGATTACAGACACTGACACAGTATCTGATCAAATCAAAGAATGAGAAGACCAAAGCAATCCAAAGTACAACATATTCATCAATAAAGCTGTTAAAATACTGGTCCAGAAACAAAAGTGCTGGACCTATGAATGCTGTGTCATGCAAATGCATTTCACTTTTTGAACAAATTTTCTAATAAAAGGTCACACGATGATGAGACTCAGAGGAATATTAACACCATTAACTTATCTTCAAAATCAATACGTATTTACCATGTACACTTGGTTCAAGAAACTTTGCCAAGTGCTTTCATATATTTGCTATATATCAATTTTAAAAGAAAAAAAAAGCCAGCGACTCTATGGAGCAGAATAGAACTGCTCCGTAGGTTTTATAAAACTCTAAATCTTTAAGCAGGCAGACTGTCTCATCTTTCCTCAAAGAATGGTTGGTGAGTTCAAACCAAAGACTTCTTTGTTTGCCACACAATGCTTAACTCGTTGCGTAAACGGGCTCCTTGATAGCAATCATCAAGCCAATTCTAGCTCTTACTGACACCACATACAAAGTAGAATTGTCATAGTTTTCCAAAGCTGAAAACTTTTACAGAAGTAGATGGCTTAATCTTTCTCTGGTGGAACAGCTGGTAGATGTGCACTGTTGACCTTTTGGTTATTGACTGAATGCCTTAACCACAGTGCCAACAGGGCTCTTTGGTATCATTGATATACAATCTTAAATGACATGTATATTAGCTCCCTTTAACATATTAAGGAAAGGAGAGGTGTTGTGACTTGGCTCACACAAATGGACTATTTCAGGGCAAGACTAACTCTAGATCTTCTCACTCAAAATTCTAAACATTTCATCCATACAGGTTTTTTAATTTCAATGGACAAACTAACTTTCATGGGGTAAATACTCTCCTAGTTCCAGCTTCCGCCAGATTAAAGGGATCCTTCTGATGCCTGTGTTGATGGAGTGACATATTGTGGTGCAAGATGGCAATGGGAAGTCTGTGGTAAGGGCATGGGGACTGCTGCTGAAGACCTGTGACCACCTATTGGACCACCCCAGGGAACACTTCTCAATTCTAAATCATGTACCACTCTTTTCCTTTCTGTGAATCCTGGCCTGCGTAGTTCTGTTACTAACACTCTATTGCTTTTGGACCAAATTTTCCATTTCTTTATTTCACTGTTCAACAGAATGCAGTATGATGTATTAAATACATGGGAAAAGTGCAGTCAGAGTCTTCCTCCTAAGTGAGAATGGTGAGGGTTTTTTTCTCTCATGTACACTGGTCATGCTATCAGGAGGGGTCAGTATCTGGAAAAGGACAACATTCTTGGAAAAATGGAAGAGCACTGAAAGAGGAAGTCTCTTGCTGAGATGATTGATGCAGTGACTGCAACGTTGGACTTAAATACAGCAGAGATTGTGAGGGTGGCCCAGAACTGCATGAAGTTTCACTCTGATCTCTGAGTCAGAACCAACTCACTGGCACCTAACAACATACACATATATAAATATGTGCCATTTTGACACTGTTTTTAAAACATAGTTCAGTGTCATTAATAGTATCAGCAAGTTATAGAATGCCCTAGTTTCCTTTCCTTACTTCTTTTAGGTCTCTAAAAGTCCTTTTGTAATTTTCTTATAAGAAAGGCTGGGTGAGTAGCAGTGAGAGTCCCACCTCCAATCCCACCACATGTTCTGCCTTTGAAACCAAGCACCAAACCAGAAGTGTACAAAGAAAGGTCGAGGACTAGCTAGCAAGGAGTGAGCAAAGGGAAGAAAGATGGCAAGTCAGGGTACTTTAAACTACATATGGAAATAGGGAAGAACATTTCTTGTGGTCACCAAATTGCTTGAATGTTGGGGTACCAGGACAGCCTGTATTTAAAAGGTTCAGAGGTTCAAGATGCATTGTTGTGCTTTATGTTTCTCATCTCTTACCAAGGCTCACACACATATTTCATAACAAGATAAATTAGGGGAATTGACAATGTTGCAAGGTTTCTTTCTCATTGCTTTCAAGTCAGAGCTGAATCAAATGACCTTCCACTGGATTGCAGAGGCTGTAAATCATATGAGAAGAGACTGCCCATCTTTCTCTTGGAGTAGTCACTGGTGGATTTAAACCTCCAGAGAGGCTTGGGATTTGGATTAGCAGTGCAAACCCCTATGGCCTAGGCCACCAGAGCTCTCTTGTTGGAATAAGCATTGTGACTTATTGTACTTATACAATAGACTTGTGTAAGACTGTCAAGGCATTTCTTTTTGTGTGTACCATCAAATCGGGTCTGATGGTACAGGAGGAGATTGCCCCTCCTTCTTCAGCAGAGCATCTGGTGGATTCGAACCATGTACCTCTGGGATTGCAGGGCAGATTCTTGCCACTAGGCCACCAGAGCTCCCCAGTCAAGTGATTTCTTAAATTTTCAAAGTTAATTGATTTTAGAAGAGCACAGAAAGTTAAAGTATTATTGAAATGCTTCAGCTTTTATAAAGCATTCTCATTATGATCACATATAAAAATGAAAGACCACTAACAGAATAGGGATCATGTTTTCTTAGGGAAAATGGTATCTGACACGAAAAGCATCATTTTCCCTATTGCCTTAGCATTGGAGTGGTGGGGTTGATTTTGCTTAGGCTATTTTTACAGAGTAAATGTCAGCTTGGCTCCCTTGGTATTCATCAGCCTCTCTAATTAACCCAGCAGCACTGGTAATTCTGAATGGCTGTATTTTCCCCTGTGAGAAGGTAATTGTGTATTGCTACTGCCGATGTCTCATAGACTATAGTTATCTATTTCCACGTTAAATATATATGTGAAACCAGCACAAGAAATGTCATTTGCATTGACTTAAATTTGTGACTTTGGTTCAAAAGTGACTTGCATAATTGAGGTGCTGATAACTCTTGGGAGATTCTTTTGTGGCAACCAGGTTTTAATGAACATGATTTTGAGTTATCTCACTTTGAAACCACTAGGCTTCTTGGTTATCTCTTTATCTAATATTAGGGGAAAAAAGAGGGGAAAAAATTACTTTTAGCATCATTCCAGTCTGGGGAATCAGGCGGCAATTTTCTCAGGTAGTCTTTGAGGAGCAGCTCATACCGCGGTATCCGCTGAACAGGCTCTAGCATGTGATGCTGCAGAGTCAAATTCCCACAGATCTTCTGTTTCTGCAATACGAAAGGATTTTATAGAAACTTTAAAAAATTGGGTCAGGCAGTCTATAAACTCACTATAATGCAGAAATTTCAACAAAGGAAGTATTTTTCTACAGACTATGGTCTGTGGATCATTTGCATTTTATCTTGGGTGCTGTCAAACAATGCAGATTTCTGAACACTCCAGTCTAGTACATTATGATATTTGAGGACAAGGTCAGGGAATATGTATTTACATCAACCTGAATTCTCAAAACATCAAAAGGGGACAATCAGTCTAATGTCAGAACAGAAAAGAAAACCAAACAGAATTTTAAGAAAGAAAATTCCAGATTGCTGGCAACCTCTTCAATTAACCACTGCAAGGATTTGTGAAGGTCACATTATTCCACTACAGACAGAAATTTTCAAAAAGAAGCGACAACTTAATGAGGTTCTATAAGCAGAACTATATTAAATGACTTTGGTCTGCAGAAACCATTTCATAATAAGCTTTCCATAAATAACATATCTTCTGAACTTAAATAAGACTCCATAGAGAAGAATGACAAGATCTGGGCATCTAATTATGTCACACATTTTTTATATTTCATTAGAGCAAAGCATTATTTCCACTAGAAATCAAACTCTAAATAGATGGCCTTTTCTTTAGGGAGAGTTGAGTCATTGTTTTTGTTATGTGCCATCAAGTCGACTGCAACTCATGTGCTTAAAGATTTGAAAAATAAGATGCATTCTTGTTCACATCAAACAAATAAAAATCCCATTAAATATAGTGAACTTATAGTCTGATCAAGGCAAATTAGGGTTCAAGATTAATATTTTTTTCTTTCTTGGATAGTTTATATTTTTTTTTAAAAAAAAAGAATCATATTAAGACATGGTTTCTGCATTCAAAGCAACTAAGTAGCTAAAAGCTTCACAAAGATAGATGCATTTAACACTCCCTCTGCTGGGTGCGAGCTTTGCTGGGTGAGAGAGTGATGAAGAGTAGGGGCAATTCCAGAGAAAGAGGATGGAAGGACACAGAACAAAGCAGCTAGGAAAATGTTACATAAAAGGGAAAGACAGGTCTCTGTTCACAAAGAAGATATTTACAAAAGAAGGAGCGATATGGAAGAACAGTTAATCTGCGACTACAATGTCAAGGGCCTTGAGTGCCAGGTTGAGTTTAGATTTACTTCATCCAATGCAGCTGTTTGTTCAGGGAAGTAATAACGTTAGAGCTGAACTCTATTAAGATTAATGGTACTGACTGGGGCTTTGGGTTTGAGGGATATGGGAAACTAATTTAGAACTTATTGCTGTAGACCAAAATGAAAGTAAGAAGGATTGGGAACCATCTGAAACAAACAGAATTATAGTTACCATGTTATTGCTGGGTGCCATCAAGTGGACCGTGACTCAGAGCATCCAATGCACAGCAGAGTGAAACCTTACCTCATCCCTTGCTATCCCTACAATCTCTATTGTACTCAAACTCATTGTCATAGTCTCTTTTTCAACCCATCTCACTCTCTCATTAATGACCTTCATCTCCTTTACTGACCCTCTGCCTTTCCAAGTATGATGACTTTTTCCAAAGGTAAGGATAAGTTTCCTGACTGCCCTTCCAGAACAGATTGTTTTGAGTTGTGATGTTGGAGAAAACACTGAACACACCATAGACTATCTTCCAAAACAGATTGTTTGTTCTTTTGATAGTCCATGGTGTGTTCAGTGGCCTTCTCCAACATCACAACTCAAAGACAACAATTCCTCAGTCATCCTTATTCACTTAGAGCATAAAATATTAATTTTCTATGTTAATAATATCATTTGCTTTTCTACAAACATATTCTATATTCATTCTGAGAGGAGAGCACAGAAGAGAATGGAAAAGGCCATACTAGCCCCCACTCTCTTCTAGACCCTGAGGCTGTGTACCTTCTGAAAGGAGATGTCACAGTGCTTAAATGTGCTGCCCTGCCTACAGACAGGTCCCTTAGCAGAGGTCTGAAGTCTTACTGGCTCCAGACAGTTGGTCTCAGCTTCTGTCCAAACTATACAGATAAATGGATAATTCCCAGTAAGTCAGGTTTTAAATAAGAGTAAAAATAGTAAATAACAACAAAAAAGTTGAGCAGAAACATGTGATAGGAGAAATAAGATTTAACTCAAGAGGAATTGCTACTACGGAGAATCCAAATATAATCAGCAAAATATTATGAGATACATAGAGAGATAAGGTATGACATAGAAGAAAAGGAAGTTAATAGTCTCTGAATGTCCTCAGATATTAAATTTAGCAGATGAATATGTCAAAGGAGAAGCTTGTGATAACATTAAGAATACCAAGACATGGATGAAAAACAAGATCCAACTGAATGATGTCTACAAATGATAGTGTTGTTATGTGCAATTGAGCAGCCTGTGACCTCACAGAACCCTATATACATTAGCTCTGAACCCTGCCCTACCCTGAGCCAATCTCATTGTCTCTGACAGACCTGACACAATTTCTTCAGTCACTGAGTCAATCCATCTCATCCTGGGTGTTTCTCTCCTGCGTTGATCCACCACCATTACAAGCATGATGTCCTTCTCCAAGGACAGGTCCCTCCTGGCCATGTGCCCAAAGTATGTGAGACAGTGCTTCAAAATCCTTGCCTCCAGGGCATAGCTTGGTTTCACCCTCTCTAGGACACACCTATTTGTTCACCTGGCAGTTGACAGTATGTTCAACACTCTTCTCCAGCACCACAGCTCAAAGGCATCAATCCTTCTTCTGTTATCCTTAGTTATTGTCCAGCTCTTGGATGCATAGCAAGTAATTGCGAAGACCATGGCCTGAATCAGGTGCACTTTAATCTCCATACTAACAGGGTTGCTCTTCAGTACTCTGGAGAGGTCCCTGACAGCTGACTTTCCCAGTGCAATTCATCTGCTGATTTCCTGACTGCTCTTGCCAAGAGTGTTGATTGTGGAAGTTGCTAATAACCTCAATTTCTTTTCTGTCATGAAGCTGCCAATTGGCTCAGTGGTAAGAATCTTTGTTTTTCGGTGTTTAGTTTCAATCCATATTGAAGACTACAGTCCTTGACCATCTGCTGCAAACATCTCATGTCCTCCTCAGTTAGATTAAGAAATATAATGAGGTAGAAAGTGAAAGGATGAAAAAGTAAACTAAACAAAGAATAACTGTAAGAGAGATTAAATGATACATCAGATGAAATATATTTAAAATACTACTGGAGACAAAGAAGAGCATTTCATAATAATGAAAGGGTCAACAGGAAGGTATAACAATTTTAAGTGTATATTCACCTAACAACAGAGCCTCAAAATAGTTGAAGAAAAATGGGCAAAACTGAAAGGAGAAATATACAATTTAGTAGAATTATCTGGAGACCCCAAGAACACATTTATTAATTGACAGATAAACAGGCAAAGACATAGAAGAGTTGAACAACATTTTTAATCAACTTGATCTATGCTGCAGGTGTAGAACACTCAACAGCTATATAATACACATATTTTTCAAGGGCACACAGAAAATTCTCCAAGATAGAAGATATATTATACCATAAAATAAGCCCCAATCAAATTGAAAAAAAAAGATTAAAAATATATATTCTTCAACTACAACTGAATTAAAAATGAACAGATAATAAAACTGGAAAAGTCCCTAATATTTAACAATTTAAATGACACTGAATTTAATAATCCATGATTAAAGAAATGAGAAAGAAAATTATAGAATGTGTCAACTGAATGAAAATGAAAACAATCATGTCAAACACTGAAAATAGGGAAAACAATGCTTAGATGAACCTCTATAGTTTTAAACTAGCTTTATCAAAAAAGGTAAAAAAATAATCTTTCACCTTAACAAACTAAGAAAAAGAACAAACTGAAATCAGAGCAAGTTGAAAAAAAGATGTGAAGGAGGAGCAGATTACTCTAAAACACTGAAGGAAAGCTTTGCACCACCAGTAGCTGTTGTGCTCAGGAGGTCACAGCAACCAGAAAGATTGGCTGGCAGAGGAAACTCACAAAGTGCATCTCTTGTAAACCAAGGGCTGTATTGATGCTTTTATCTGGATTCTTGTATTTAATCTTCTTTTAAAAATCCTAAGAAATCCAGAATGCAAGATAGTAAAGATAATGAGATAAATATTTTTACATGGCTCTAGTTTTCTATTTTGTTAAAATTAATTTTTTTTTAAAAAAGATGAGAGTTAAGTGCAGTCTTTTAGAAATTCTCCAGGGAAGTTACTGCCTGAAATATAATGGTTCAGTGTAGCTTTCTCCCTTTCTACTTCACTAATTTCACTGTAATCTAAGCTTTATTTCAAAGGAAAAATGTAAACTAGTAGACAATGTTATAGTCTCAAACTGATCCAAGCTGATCAATTGAAAAGAATTCTAAGAAATAGAAGTGGGATGGGGCAGCAATTTAAGAATAAAGTTATACCATTCTAAATACTCACGTTGGGGGGTGGGAATAGGCAAGAAAAAGGAAAATGTTATTGATACTCTCTGTCTCAGAATTTTATATGGCACCAGCAGCCAGGAAATAAAAAAATGTATTGTGATGGGAAAGTCTGCAGTTAGGGACCTCTCTAAAGTACTCAAGAGCAACGGTGTCTCTCTGGAGACTAAGGTGCGCCTGATACAGGCCATGGTCTTTGCAATCACTTGTTATGCATCAGAGAGTTGGACAATGACTAGGGAGGATAGAAGGAGAATTGACGCCTTTGAGCTATGGTGCTGGAGAAGAGTATTGAATGTTCCATGGACTGCCAAGAAAACAAACAGATTCATCCTAGAGAGGGTTAAACCAGGCTGCTCCTTGGAGGCAAAGATTCTGGGGCTTCGTCTGACATACTTTGGACATGTTGTAAGGAGAGACAGGTCCTTGGAGAGGGACATCATGCTTGGTAGGGTAGAGGGACAGCGCAGGAGGGGAAGACCCTCTATGAGGTGGATTGGTTCAGTGATTGGGCCAGTCGGGATGGGTGTGTCAAAGGCAATGCGATTGGCACAAGATAGAGCAGGGTTTAGGGCTGTGGTACATAGGGTTGCTATGAGTCGGAAATGACTCAATGGCACATAATAACAACAACAACAATGAATTTATTTTCAATATTTAAGCTATAGCAAAGAATAAATGATTAACAATGTTGACTAGAGTTTTTACAATGATACTATTAAAATATAATATCTGGCTTTAATGAAATATAAAAATAAAATCAAGACATGGGTATAAAGTGATATGAAAATGAATGTTTCCAAAGTCTCAGCTTCTGAAAGGAAACATGGGGAAGCACATACTTGAAGGAAATTCTCAATCTGTATGGACTCAAGTAAAGCCAGTCTCTGCTGGCCTTTAGAGGAAATGGAAAGCTCACTGCAGCCAGGAAATTAAAAGACGAATCGCCTTGGGAAAGTCTGCTGTTAGAGACCTCTCCAAAGTACTGAAGAGCAACGATGTCAGTCTGGAGACTAAGGTATGCCTGATACAGGCCATGGTCTTTGCAATCACTTGCTATGCACCAGAGAGCTGGACAATGACTAGGGAGGATAGAAGGAGAATTCATGCCTTTGAGCTGTGGTGCTGGGGAAGAGGATTGAATATATCATGGACTGTCCAGAGAATGAACAGGTTTGTCTTAGTGAGGGTTAAATCAGGCTGCTCCTTGGGGGCAAGGATTCTGAAGCTTCATATGACATACTTTGGACATGTTACAAGGAAGGATGAGTCCTTGGAGAGGGATGTCATGCTTGGAGGGACAGCGCAGGAGAGGAAGACCCTCTATGAAGTGGATTGATTCAGTAACTGGTGTAATCACTGTGGGTGTGTCAGAACCATGAGATTGGCACAGGACAGAGCAGGGTGTCGGGCTGTTGTACATAGGGTTGCTATGAGTTCGCAGGCCACTCAATGGCACATAACAACAATAGTATTGATGGTAATTATGCAGACAGAGGTGATTTCCATATACTTTAGAGTAGATTGAGTTTGTTCTGACTTGACAGCAATGAGTGAGAATAGAGTAAGATTAATGTGAGTTATCTCACTGGATCAGAATTTTAGGTCTAGAAGACTATAATTTGAGAGGGGGGAGAAAAATCAATGCATACCCTTTTCTAAAACAGTCCTATTACCTGAATTTCTTCCACCACTGATTTGAACTGGGGGATGCGCTCTGTCATGTTTTTAACCAATTCCATTGCATTATCAAATCCCTTCACATACTCTCCATACATCTTAAGAAAAGGCGCCAATTTCTGAAGGATGTCACCAATTCGTGGAGTAGTTTCCCTGTTGAAAATATAGAAAGAGGTCATTAAGATTTTTCATAAATGAGCATATTACTGGGATTCCAGAGAAATAAGCACTTTAAACAACATACTCTGCTTTTTATCAGATCTACTCTGAAAGAATGAAGAAGCAACTTTTTCTTTTTTAAAATTTTCTATTATGTGTAGGAAAGTATAAGTAAGGGAAGTGCTATGGATTTCTGGAACTGTTAAATTACACTTAATATTTTGTCTGAATCAAAAACTCTTGGGAGAACTAAAGACATCATACCTCGGAACCTATTAGCAGTTGTGAACACAAAACCTTAGCACAGATATCTAACTACAGTTCTGTACAGCTTTTCTAGTTTCCATCTAAAAGCTGAGAAGCACAGCATTGGATATGACTATCTTACACATACCATGTACTGTCTACTCCTTACCATTCTTGCATTCGTTTCTCCAGTTCTGGCAATAGGAATTTACTATGGAAGGCATTTATTGATGAAATATTAGAAAAGATTTTATTCACCATCTCTGCTGGAAATGAGCCTCGGTTTGCTTCTTCCAATAATTTGCAATAAAATACCTAAAGAAGAGAATAAAGCAAATACACTGTCATGTTGATGTATTGTGCTAGCTTTGTGCTAGGTACCCAGTGTGTTCTTAGTAACTTTCTTTTCAGGAAGGGGGAAAGTTTATGGGTTTATAAATCAAACATTATTTCTATTTCAAATGTTGGAGCATATATTTTAATTTAGAAGGGAAAAAAATAAGAATATGGAGGTCTTGATTCTAATCAAAGTTATGCCCCACCTATGGGATATTAAAGGCAAATAATTTATCTTTTTGTGGATTGTCCAAGAAAGTTTAATTGAGCTTACAAGGATTTGCCTTTTATCCACCGTTGTTGGTGTCATCAAGATGCTTCTGACTCATAGGCAACAGAACAAAATCCCGCTCAATCCTGTGCCATCCTCACAATCTCTGCTGTACGCAAGCCCTCTGTTCTAGTCACTGCATCTGTCCATCTTGTTGAGCGTCTTCTTTTAAAGGCTGACCTTCTAGAATACTCTTTCAAGTCATAGCATAGAGCTGTGAAAACACTACTAGATAGAATAATTGTGGTAATTTCTCACTTCCTTTAGATGCTTTGAAAGCACCTCTGGTGATATAAACAGAAGGTATGCTTAGCTAGTAAACAAAATGTCAGTGAGTCAAGCCTCCCAAGGGCACCTTGGGAGAAAAGTTCGCAGATCTGCTTATAAAAAGGCAACCACTGAAACTGGACAGAGCGTAAGTCTACTCTGACACATTGCTTTGAGATGTGATCAGCGACAACTAATTGTATGTTATGGCTTTAGTGAAGGATTCTTGTTGCCTTTTAATGTAGTTTACTGACAAAATTGTATTTTCACTATTAAGAATGTGTATATTCCATGAGGAAGGAACCCAATCCAACTGCCATCGAGTTAATTCACATTCAGTGAGCCTCCATGGGTTTCTGAGGCTGTAAACTTTCCCAAGAGAAAGCGGGCCATCTTTCTCTCTTGGAGAACTGGTGAACATTTGCATAGAAGAATGTAACGTAACTACATCATCAGGGTTCCCTGAAGAGGGAGACACTAGGATTTAATTCCCAGAATACAGTAGGTGCTTCATAATTGTTTAGTCAATGAATGAACAAAAAGATGGTTCTGGTTTCAAATGATTACTTGTTTGTTATAAAACAGTCAAGTATTATAAATGTAAAATACTGATGAGGTATACAAATAATCTTCCTTTGAGCATAGTAACATGTCCCTTAAACATAATTTTTAAAAACTGCAGTCTTATACCTCTTAATTGCACTCTGTTAAAGGTAAACAGAAGGAGCATCTGTTCCTTTATAATGTCCAGATGGTTATTTTCTAAATTCACCTCCACTGCAGTTTCTTGGGAGGCAAAATGAACACAAAATGTATGTCCTTAGAGACCTGAATAGCTAGGATTTATCGTAATTATAGCTCTCGAAGTCTAAAAGGTCAACAACAGTAGCTGACCAGTTAAAAAATCAAAACACACAAAGCCCAAGTTGTTGTTAAGAGGCAAATGTAAAAGTTTCCGTTCTGTTATCTCCATGAGAGGAAGAATTTCAAAGATGCCAACTCCACATGAATTTACTGACATGTGAAATTCTTTGAAAAATGACCGAGTCACGAACATTATTTCAAAGAACACAACCTAATATGGGTATAGTTCATGCTAATGACAAATGATTGAGGGACCGCCTACTCTCATAACTTTAGGACAATTTTTAAATATAACATCACCCTTGACAGATTTATCTTCTAATCAGAGAAGTGTGTTTTAGTGAATAATTTGCCAAGCATCCCGTTTTTAAACCTATTGCTAACTGGTTTAAAATTTTCTATAGGTATTTTTCTATACCTATATATATTTTCTATAGGTACTTTTATGATACATTTTAAAATTTTCCAACTGTTTATTGAAATATACACTTAGAAATAATGATAGCTGATGGTCTAACATGATAAAAGCACAAAATATGATAAAGTAGATATAGTCAACAACATTCAACAAATATTGACTAGGTACTATATTAAAACTTTGGATGTTCTAAATAAGTGAACTCACAAACCCCTTTCTGGTCCCATGACTCCATCCCTTAAGATCACTCATGTTATCAGCAGCAAAGGACATGAATCAACACGTTCATATCAATAATAGAAGCATCAATCTTGTAAAGATTTCCTTGAGAAAGCAGTTTCAGTAGACAAAAAGGTAGGTCCTTCTTGCAGTTTATAAAACATTTTAATCACCAAGTTAAAGTGAGCTAGGGTGCTAAAAAAGAAAATAATTCTGAAAAGAAACATATTACCTGATCTAATAGGTCAAGTCGGCTGACATAAGCTCTTTCTGTAAGCAAAAGTTCATTGGCTATCTTGTGAAGTTTTTGCTCATTACTCTCCTAAAAAACAGAACAGATATTCACAGATTAGGAAGAAAATCTGAACAGTATTTCTCAAGTAATAAATAGGTCCTCAAGTAGTTTGGGGGAAAAAACCAGAACAGTTTCTTAAGCTTTCCAGGCATTTTGTTTCTCTCAGCCACCAGAGAACTTCCAATCAGAAATCAAATGGGAAAAAAAGTTAGAAAAAAAACCCATGCAACTTTTTATTTATGAAGAAATTTACCTCAATATCCATCTTCTTCTTGAAACATTTAGCCATCACTGAGATTAAAAAGCTATTAACCCATTTATTGCTAATTTTATTTCATCTGTATCTATACTTCAGTTACTATGCATTGTATCACAAACATATTATTATTTCTTCCATATTTATTTATGTAAAGCTTAAGCATGCTTTTTTTACCTCTGTTATCTCTATGAGAATTGGGACATTTACCTGCTGTTAACTACTCAATCTCTTGTTTATACCAGAAAAATCAACATTCAATAAAATATTGCTGACTACAAGAACCAACAAGCAGTACTCTCATACCTAACTTCTGCAATTATTCCTGTTTTGACATGCTATCAAGGGTAGGACCAAATGCATCTTTTCTGTAAATCTCCATCTGCTTCCCCTATCTTTCCCTTTCTGGTAAAAGTTCCATCCTTCCTAGATATTTGATATGGAATATTGACTTAATCTAAACTATAAAGTTCTTACAGCAACCAAGTTCTATATATTCTATTATGCTTTACTATTCACCTATTAAGTTCTTATAACTGTAATTCCATTTCCTTAAGTCATCTCAAACTTGGACAATCAATACAAGCAGTCCTGGACTGTGAATGAGTTCCACTCTTAAATTGGTACATTAAGTTAGAAGTTTGTTTTAATATAGACTAGATATGATGCACATTTTCATGCATAAAAACACCAAAGAAACACTTCCAGATACAATAAAAATACTGTTTACCACAAAGCAGTAAATAACGTTTTTATATGCTTCACAAAGTAGTACTAATTTGTTATGAGCCATTACATACCTTAAAATTTTAATATAACAGACTTTGCCAATTTGGCTCTTAATTATTCGTTATACACTAGTTGGATGTGTACATCCTAGAGACTACCTGTAGTTACGATATTTCCCCTTACATTAGTATTTTCTTGTTCTAACTTACATATTACTACATAAGAAATGCTTCTAAACTTCTGTAGATGATCCTACTCCTAGAAGCAAAACACTTCAACAGATTCCCCTCACACTAATAAAGTCCAGACTTTTCTATAGTATCTTCTCATTATCTTTGTACAGGCACTTTTCTTTTGAACTGGTATTGATTGCCATCTGAACATCCACACACCTTTCTTTTTCCCATCCTCCCTGCCTGGCATATGCTTTTGCTCTGTTACCTTCTTCAATTCTTCAATACCCTTGACCCAGCTTATTTATATTAGAAAGCATGTTATAGCTCATATCTGATTTTTTTTTAGTATTGATAAATGTCTATCTAGTAAACTTGCTGAAATAATATTTTCTACTATTAGAGAGTAGAAAAAAATAACAAAGGTTTAATAAATAACTTTAGTTGCAAAGCATATTTTAAATCATCATATAATATGTGGAAATACTAAAACTGGGAATGAAATGCTACTTCATTCTATATGAACTCTTCACTGTGTCCTGTACATGAGATACTCGAGCAGTATCCATTCCAACCTGGAAAGTTACCATTTTACATCTAACAGTAGCGATGGAATGAGTTAAGTTAAACCTTTATGTAAAGTATTAGAAGAATAATTTATGATTTCAGCAATACATACTGGAAGAAGAACATGCACTCATTAAATTCCACCACAGGCACTGTTTTGGTTTGGCTTCAGTAACTCAGCATAAAGTATACTAGTGCTTTCAGTGGCTTAGCTGGCATTCTTTCCATTTCTCAACCATATTCACTCACATTTGGTTGGTGTAACCAAACTGCCACTATCTAGGCATTTCTTTTTGGGGAACCGACTTATCCCCATTTCAAAAGGGGGCTTTAAATAAGATCAAGAACCATCTCCTCCTTTGCCACAATGACTGGTTCAGGAAAGATCATGACCCATATGCGAGTAAGACATGAGGGGTATGTAGTGGGACTTCTGCAAAAGGAGGCCCGCCTCTGGTGGCCTAATGGTAAAAGAATTACATTGCCAAGGCAAGGTATGTGGTTTGAATTCACCAGCTGCTCCATGGGAGAAAAATGGACAATCTCCTTCTGTGCAATTTAACACCTCTGAAAACTCATTGGGTTGTCAGCTTTGGGTCAGTTCTGACTTGACAGTACACCACCACCACCATAACTGCTCAAGGAGAGTCACCAGATAAGAACTCCCTGATGTTCCAGATGAATGAGGGTGCTTGTAGGCTTTAATGCTGTACATGACCATCCTCATCTATAAAGCTGTGTCCAGGAAGTCAATAAAATCCCTTAAGTCAGGCCAAGTTAGATAGGGTGTGATTTGTAGTTAAAGCATCCTGATATATTTACATACTATGAAAATATGTAGTATATTCCATTAAATTAAAAACTTTTAATAGAAATGAGAAAGAGGTAACAGTTCATAGAGTAAAAAATGAACTATCAAATCTATAACAAGTGAACACATAACATAAAGATATATAAGAAACCTATTAGCATTTCAGTGGAAGGTAACAGTAATATGCTATCCTTTATAGTCATAGAAAATATTAATTGGCACCAACATTACAAGCACTTTATTTTGTTTCAGTGAGCAGATATAGTTCCTTTATGTCCAGTAACTTTCCTGGTACCCCACTCAAGCCGGCCCCATCCTTGTCCTACTACTAAGTTGTGGCAACTGCTGATCCATTTTTAATACCAAACTTTTGACATTTTTAGACTATATATCATGTACATACAATGTGCAGTACCAGTTGAATGTGATAAATAGTAGATATCCTCATTTCATACTGCAAAATCTAAAGGGATGCCAGAATTATAAGCAAAAGGTATGTTCTTCCACTCATGGGGTCCTAAGTAAGGTGTTCCACACATTGGGTCCCTGACCTTGCCAGAGCCGACTAAAGAAAAGCAAAAGTTTGCTGATATACAAAGGTCTATTAAGTTATACATTTTGTAGTTATGTGCCTTTGAGTTGGAACAGACTCACAGCTTCCCCCTGTGCCCCCACGCCAAAAGGTTTTCAGAGGCTGTAAATCACATGGGAGGAGACTGACCATCTTTTTGCTGTGAGGCAGTTGGTGGATTTGAACGGCCTGCTTTTAGATTAGGAGCACAACTATTTACCCACTAGGCCATCAGAGCTCCTTATATTTTGTAATACATGAGGAAATCAAGGACATATGCTATCTTGTTTTAGTTGATAACTACTATTAGCTATCATAATAACAGTTATAATCTGTTCACTACTTTTATTATATACCAGATACACATATTTACATAAACCAATCTAATCCTTAAAATAATCTTATGAAATAGGTGCTATTATTATCCTATTTTTAGGCACTGGTGGTGCAATCCAAAGGAAGAACTCCTAACCCCAAAGCAACCAGTTAGCCTCCACCCGGAGTTCTGTGAGAGAAAGATGCACAACATCCTCCCGCGTGACATACAGTCTCAGAAAACTAAGTGGAAGGTCAGTGATGACTCAGAAGCAATGAGTAGTAATACTAGTATAAACACAACCAAGGAAAATCCAAAGGTCAAAGAGACTACAAGGTAACTTGTTTAAGACTACAGTTAGAAGGTAACTCAATCAGATTCAAATCCTGCAGAAGAGTAAATTAAGTAGCTATTGTAAATAGTTCCATTTCCCATACCCTTCTTTCAGTATAAAACAAGACTGTTATGTGTCAATAGGAGACAGAGTGACAAAGTACAAATTATTTGCTTACAAAACTCACCTACTATGTATTAATTATCTTTACATGAATCAATCTAAAGCAGAACTTTATAATGATTTTTAAGTGTGTAAAATACAGTAATTCTCATGTTATAATAGCTTCCAACTTTAAAGGTTGCTGAAAATCACCTATGAGTTACTTTTAAGAATAAATAAATACTTTATGTCATTAAGGGGCTCTGTTTCAATATCAGATGTAGGTTTAAATAATTTTTATTATTTTTTTATTGTTATTTTGTGTGTGTGTTTATATACCGTCAAATCAGATCTGACTGGTACAGGAGGAGATTGTCCCTCCTTCTCTAGCAGAGGTGGATTTGAACTGCTCACCCCTGGGATTGCAGTACAGCTTCCTTGCCACTAGGCCATCATAGCTCACCAGGTTTAAATAGTTTATAAAACAGTTTAAAAATTGCTGGATATATTTGGCTTTTTTTTTTTTTTAAGTAAATAGAAAATGTCCTCTGCTGCTTGCCACTCCAAAACCATATGACCGTTATGTTGTGTCTCACACTTTACCAGTTAGTCACTTATTTTTGGGCCTCCTTATGTTTACCACAAGCTCTGTTCTTGTACTGACTATATAGAAAAAGGGGGCAGAATGAAATACTCCATATACCACTCAACCCAGGTCTTGTGTTTGGTTTGTGTTGTGATTGGGTTAGCATGGACTGAGGAGGAATTTAAAACCCGACTGTCCCATTTCCTTTGGGCTAATATAAATTGTGGGCTGAGCTGTTTCGGTATCAATAAAACTGAATGGTACAGGAGTAACTATGGCTCTTTGGAAGGAGAGTCATTTATTTTTATGACCCTTTGGAATGTATTAATAGTTACACAATACTGATTGCATTATTGTCAGCTCCAGGGGTCTAACAAACAGGACTGACTTTTCAAAATAATTTTATAAATATACTAATTTAAAATCACTTGGTATCCTGCTTTAAATACAGGGGAGAACATTTAAATTTGTAAACATATGATAGTATAAATATATATGACAGATTGATACTTATTTTCTTGATAGTGCCTTCAAATGAAAAATAGAAGAGAGTAATTATAGTATGAGAACTGGAAAAGAGAA